TTAAGAGGTTTTTTTGAAAGATAAACGTATCACTAAGACTGCTGAAATCGTGCTATCGAATGGTTTTTCAAAGTCTAATAAAAGGCTATGTCCTGCGAAAAGTGTTCAAATGTACAACACGAGTTTACTCTTACTTCTACAGCGCAGTGAGAGATTTTATTCCGAAGAGGAAGCACATTGAAATCCTTGAGAGTCCAGCTATCGATTATGGAAAGGCGATGAGTTGACGTCAATGTTGTTAAAGTCATCAACATACTGGTGCAAGTAATATGCGCCGCATGTGAAATGCCGTCTTAATTTCAGTGCTTCAGTCTCTGTAGAAAGTTTTTCGTACAATTGAAAGCGCTGCTGATTCTGCCGAAATATGCGTCATCAAATAATCGTTGAATTTTTCATAGGAAAGCTTTGTTTTGTGTGTTGAGTTTAATGTGAAATAAATTCTACTTTTACTTCTACAGCGTAATATAAAGGCCATCAAAAAACAAAGTGAACTGTTCGAAATCTGAAGATTTATGTTATCAGATGACTACTTAAGTGTCTAGAAAGGGCAAAAAATACGTTTTTCTTTTCTGATATGGATGCGATAGAGGAGAACCAATTCTTTTCATTGTAACTTTCTGTTCTGTCATTGATATTCCCAAAAACAAACATTCAGTTCTCTCAAAATAGGTGCGTTGTTTGGTGAGTAGCAGCTACTTATATTGAAAATCGTTTCGACACAAAAATGTGAAGACGATAACGAAGCGAAGTAATTGCTTCTTATGTGAGATCACCTGATGGTAAATGAATGAGTCTCTGTCAAAACAGAATGACCAAAAATTCGTAACAGAATTTCTACTTCGCCAGTTACAAGTGTTCAGTCATTCAGCCGACGTGCGTCGCACTTCTTGTTCGGCGCTTTCTAAGATCACATAGAATTTTGTTAGATGTAAGAGCTGCTGAAAGAGAGCGGAAACAGCATCTAGGAAGACCGCTCTGAAGAACTAATCTTTGTGGCGCATCGTTACCGTGTTTTGTTTGGCTTAAATCCATCGAGTTCTCGTTCAGTCCTCAATTTGTTTACCTCTGTCCACTTCTTTCACTATCACTCACAGAAAGTAGCTCATCATATTCGAATGAGGTTTAAACCATTGAGGAAACTGTCTTTGTAGTGCAGCAAACAATCTAAGACCTCTCATTAGTTATTATACACATATATCTATATCTATATCCATATCAATAGCCATCATTCATCGATAGAACACTAACAGTAAGATATTAGTGGGGCTATAGCACTGTCAACTCGGCATGTATGACACTAGTGAGATGCTGAAATGATCGGCTGCTGGTTACGATGCAGTGCAAGGCGGAGAAGCCTTTAGAAGCTACGTGTACCTCCTGAATTTTTACACCGGTGAATGCTCTCATTAGGTGATTATATGATGTATGATATATGGCAGGGACGGGCTGCATAGCTGCAGTACGCTAGGCGCACACAACAGGAATGGTTGCAATGTCGCCTATGGGGAAGCACCCAGAACTACTTCAGTTGCCCCGTTGCCACGAGTAATGCACCGCCCATAGAGAACAAATATCACCGTAACAATGCCTTGACTGTGAGTCAATGAGGAAAGGTAAAAAGGACGGCTACAATGTCATGGTTGCTATAGACAGAGCTGAGAAGGATGTTATGTGCATTCGGTTACAGGTTCGACCACATGGGAGAGTTACAAGGTACGATAAAAAGACGAAAAGGAAAAAAAGACAGAGAACGAAGGAGCAAAGAGCTCATTAGTGAGATGTGAGCTCGAACTCATTATCTTGCTGGTCGTAGCGTGCAGGTGAAGACGTAGACCGATGGCTTATCCTTTGGGGTGGTCAACTTCTTCGGTTCGATCGTGTTATTTCTTAGTGCAGCTGGCTGTCGTCTAGTTCAACAGGGACCAAGAGATTGACTGATCCTTTCATCATTATTTGAGCCAACATGTCATGTGGTCTGGCTCAAATAATGATGAAAGGATATATTGAAATTTGAGCGTGGTCTAAACAAAGCACTCGAGATAAAGGTATAATTATGACAAAAGTACCAGCCAATGAGCAATCGAGTGCACAACACTCGGTGTTAGGTGAATGTTTCACCTGACATAGAGTGTAAAGCGAACGTCGTCGATAACTATATATAAGGAGTGTGACGCTCCCGAGAGAACTGGCTATGAAAAGATCGACAGACGACGGGTTCTGCCCGGCTGATGAGTCTGTAAGGACGAAACACGTGTCTCGGGCTGTACAAGAGCCCTTACCAGACCACATGACATGTTGGCTCAAATAATGATGAAAGGATATATTGAAAAAGTCCGCTACTCCTTTCAAAATTTTGTTCCGCAGCCCATCCTCGGTAGCAGGTGAATGTTGACTGCACCGACAGAGTTATGACACGATGAAAGTTGATTGGAGTAGTCAAATGATTAATTATATATGTATATATATATATATATATATATATATATATATAGTGATTGAAAACCATTCATAGGAATTTCACAAAGATCCTGGACATATGAAACAGTCTCAGCAAACCTTCTTTCATGGCCCTCAAAACGTCCGCAACACTACTCTGGCTGATGTTGAAGGTGGAATAAAAGTGCACATGCACTTATCTAAAACTTGCCGAGCGGAATAACATAAACTGTTGTATAAAAAAGCACAAATAGTATCGAATGCGTAGTTGCCTTTCAACACCCACTGGTTCAAAGTCAGTTGTGGAACCACGAAGAAGAATGGATGCGGTTTTGGTCAAATACGCTTGATCACCATAGAAGATGCGGTCAAGATACCTCTTCACATGATAAGTTCACATAGAACTGGAATAGTGATAGTTTGCTATACATGGTATTACGACTTTTTTTTGTGCACTCATACGTCCGTTCGTCTGCTGTGAAAGACCTCCTAATTGCTCATGAAGCCAGTTCGTTTTATGCAACATTCTTGACATTCCAAAATGACGTACTATGATATATGGGGCCGACCCGCACAATAGCATTGATGTCATCACGGAAATACTAGTGGTTCGACAGCGACGGATCATCAAGCATTTAATCCCCCCAAGGTCGAGAGATCGATAGCAAATTGTTTCACGGAGTATCATCTTTTCATATTTGAATGCGAGTTCTGACACTTCAGAAACAAAAGAGAATTAACTCAACCAGCATCTTGAGACGTTAATGAAAAAGTCGGACTTCTCAAGTATCAGGTGAAACAACATTCAAGAAGCTCGAAATTGTCGTGGATGTATACGAGGAGAAAAACAAATTTAAAAAGTCTTGGTTACCACAGAAGGTGTGGTCAATGATGCCGGAGTAATTGAACGAAGAAAACATTATATCGGATAATACGACGTTCGCGGTGTTCAACACTTTGGGCACAGCAGCTAGGAACTAGCGTCGCCCCTCTGCCGTGCACGGCGGAGCGTAGTCCGTATAGGGTAGTGTCTAATGATGCCTACTATCAGAAGGTTACTACTTCGATATCTTCACGACGATTCACAGCGGTTTTTTTTTAGTATTATTTCTGATGTCGTTAATACTGCAGTTTCTTTAAATCTATTGCTGTTCTTTGTCAATAAATAAATTTTTTAGAGGCATACCCAACACTGAATGATGTGGGAAACCTTCATCGTTATAAACCCGTATTTCACGCTTTCCCGAACCACGTACACCATTCCTCAATATTGGGTAGATTTTTGTAGCATCATGCTACCGCTAAAGAGGTTGACATAAAGTTCTCGTTTTTCACAAAAAATCTAGCTGCAGTGTTCCATTCTGATTCTCAAGGGAAGCGACTAAGCGTGGTGAGTAATCGAAGACGCCTTAACAAAATTACATTGGAGGTGCAAAAACAAATTAGATGTGGAAACAGCACAACAATCTAGATGCTAAGATAAAGCAAAACTCGGGACCTGGAGGGCTGTGAACTCGTAGTTACCATTTTTAGGGATCACGCGCTATCCACGGCACCGACCTATGCCTTTTTAACTTCCTCTTCAGTTGTTTTATAACCCTGTCGGTGCAGTTAACACTGCCTGTTACGGGATTGGTCTGAGAAACAAAATTTTGGAACGAGTAGCGAGCTTATACCGAAGTGAAGTGGGTGGAGTTACTTCTGGAGTGCCTGTGAAGGATGGGTTCACCAGGATTTCCCTGTGAATAGTGAAAGAAAGACAGATTGAATGGTTGAATACGTTGTGACTGCCGCTCAAAATGTAAGGTGTCTGCTGATAGGAGCTGTATTTCAACGGACCGACCCATTTTGGAGAAGTCAATTCGACTGTTGGCTTGAGTTGTTGTGCGGACAATCAGTATCACCAATAATCGTCAAGTATATCGTTTTGAATAAACATCATCAACCTAATCATGAACCGCGGCGAGAAATGTCTCGTGATGGATCACACGTAATATGGTACAGCATCTAAGACAGTCGCTTAACGGTCAAAAAAGTGCTGTATCCATAACAAATTTTTCACGAACGATGGAGAGTTATTTAGGACGACATAATGCTCAGGTGCAATGGTGTAAAAACCTACTTTCACGAGCCAATTATGACCGCTGTTGGGAAGTCAGTTGTAAGATATGCAATAATGCTAAATGGAAAAGGACTACAACAGAAGAGTAGAAAATCTTGATCATATAATTATATTAGATCATACCTAAGAGAACTGAGTGGTGAGCAAAAACACGGCCTCAGGTGTAAATTGAACCCGCGCCTAATCCATACCGGGGACGCGTGTTACTACCACTAGGTTCGAGGTCGTGTTTTTGGCCACCATTCAATTCTCTTAGGTATATTGTAACATAATGACACTGTGAAAGAAGCGGTAAAAAGACTATAATTTCGGAGTATTACACCTAGCAATGTCCGCTCAACTGGGTTTATAAAGCGAAATCGCATACCCGACCAAATCTGTTACAGGTTGTTGGCTGATAGCTAGCATAGAGATGTTGAAGAATGAGTGGTGGCGCAAATGGGCCTCGGTGGTGTAGTGGTAGTAGCACGCATCCTCGGTATGAATGAAACGCGGATTCGATTCCTGTCCTGAGGCTGTGGTTTTGCTCGACCACTTAATTCTCTTAGGTATAGTCTAAGACAATTATATAATCAAAATTTTCTACTCTTCTGCTGTAGTTCCTTTTCCATTCAGCTTATTGCAATCTTACAAATGACTTCCCAACATCGGTCATAATTGGTTCGTGAAAGTAGGCTTTTGCACTATTGCACCTGAGCATTATGTCGTCCTAAATACCTCTGCATCGCTCGTGAAAAAGTTGTTCTGGATACAGCATTTTTTTTGACCGTTTAGCGACTAATTCCATTCTGTTTTCCAAATATATTGCTCTCGATATTCTGAGTCACTATCTCCATAGACGATAGACAAGGATTTCGAAATCTTCGCTTGAAGACTTGAAAAAGGCTTTTATTCAAAATAACTACTTAGTTCGTTTTTTCTTTTGTAGGCCAAAGCAAAGTCAATACGATTTGCTTGATATGCCAATATTTCGGCGCTTCCGTCTTCAAAGCTTGGAAAAATTTGGTTATCCTACAACCTACTCAATTAGAGACCTCCGTTACTTCAACAAAAAAAAATCCATTATACCCAGGTTTCAATCGCATCAAACACAAGACAACTTTCATTAGACTCGTTGATTTTCATGAATCTTCCTCCGAGTTGTTCAAGTGCAGCCAGCCTAACGGTGTAGAAATCACAGGGACTGCGAATGTACCTCTCATTACAAAACAACAGTCTTATATGTTGTGCCATATTACGTGTGATCCATCATGAGACATTTCTCGCCGCAGTTCGTGCTTAGGTTGATGATGTTTATTCAAAATGATATACATGACGATTGTTGGTGATACTGATTGTCCGCACAACAACTCAAGCCAACAATCTAATTGACTTCTCCAAAATAGGTCGGTCCGTTGAAATACAGCTCCTATCAGCAGACACCTTACACTTTGAGTCGGCAGCCACAACGTATTCAACCATTCAATCTGTCTTTCTTTTACTATTCACAGGGAAATCCTGGTGAACCCAACCCTCACAGGCACTCCAAAGTAACTCCACCCTTTTCACTTGGGACAGGAGCTCGCTACTCGTTTCAAAATTTTGTTCCTCAGACCTTCCCGCTTACAGGTGAATGTTACTACACCGCAGGGTTTTGAAACTGAAGAGAAAGTTAAAAAGGCCTAGGTCGGTGCGGTGGATAGTGCGTGATCCCTAAAAATGGTAACCACGAGTTCACAACCCTCCAGGTCCCGAGTTCTGCTCTATCTTGGCATCTAGGTTGCTGTGACGTTTCCACATCTAATCTGATTTATTGCATCTCCAATGTAGTTTTGTTAGAGGCGTCTTCGACTACTCACCACGCTTACTCGCTTACTCGTTGAGAATTAGAATGGAGCATTGCGCTGCTGTCGATTCCTTCGACTAGTTCTCTTAACAATTGTCTCATATCAAAAATTAGGCCTAAAACAGATATGAAAGCTAGATACGAAAGCGGAACGACAGCTCAAGGAACGACGTAGGAACTAGAACATCAGGCTGGATTTTCTCTCAGGCATATTCCGAGGTCACCTAGATCAGCTGCTGAATCAAAATCCTGATCCGAAAAAAAAAAACAGGATTCAGGACACACGCTGCATTTCAAGCATCTTGAAGGATATTGAGGAAGAAACCACTAAGTAAAATCCATCAACTATTCGATAATTATGTGAACAGCGCCTGAGATGATTGCGGTGAAGACCAAAGCGCCTAAAAACGCTGCTAATCTTACCACGATAAAGCCCTGAAGATAAGCAGATAATGAAAGGAAAAGTTTCATTTTCAATCAAAAATTGAGAACAAGTACATCATCTTCTAAAAAAACAGAGGCTATGGTTCAATAACAACACCACTTCCAATCAAAGCAAAAATTTCACATTAAAAAAAAACCTCAACACGACAATAAAAGGTCGATAAATGATTGGAGATCCATATAAAGCTAATCTATCGGAAATGATAGTGGTAGATTACAATGATATGATTAATCATAGCGAACGAAAACACTTGAAACCTTGAGTACTTCGAACCACATCGTGCGGCAATAAGTGATATTCCTATTACATAAAAGTTTGAAAGATCAAGGAAGGCCATAATAATCACAAGAGTCTAGATTCCGAATTGGCTCATAAAATTGGACCACAATTGAGGTGACTTTTTGCGAATGATCAAAACGCAGCAATCTTTCTTAATTGAAAAGACACCGCTGATATTTCTCCAGGAAACTTTTCTACCTAAAATTGAATTAGTTTCAAAACCTAAACAGATATTATACTTGAAATTTGAAGAACTGTGGAAAAAAGACTGATGGGTAATTTTGAGTATATAAATATTACAGGCGCCTATGACGCAGTGATTAAAGATGCCTTGCGACAAACGCCTAGTCGATGGTTCGATACCGTGCCAAAAGCTATCAACACTTTCCTTTCTTTGGGATTGGTGGATTGTACCAGACTTGTTCAAGAGAATAGCAGCAGGAACTTCATACATCGCTAGAATACCATGAGTCATTGAAAAGCCAGCCATCCATTCGATCATCTTAGCAGATGTTAGACGAAGTTGAATGAATGGCGTATGCCTCAAGGATTGGTCAACGCCTGGAGCTTTGAGAAAAAAATGACAGAGCTCTTGGCGTTGATCAATACGTGAGGGATTCAACATGCAATCGTCAATTTCTAACAGTTTGAGGTGATTCTATGTATATTTGTCCTTTACATGATTCGCGGTGGCCTACTGCTATATCAAGTCAGTGCTGCTAATCCTCCTAGACAAGTCTGAGACGAGTCTGATAGAAATTTAACAATCCAGGAGGGATGGATGGCTTGGTGAGCCATGAGAGCGAGGTCGAACCATCGACCTCGTGTGCGACGCAGAACTCCTCTTACTACTGCGCCATATGCGCCAAGAACTTTATCGTTTACTTTGAGATAAGATCGGCTAATACAGCTGATATCAACCAAACATACTTCATAATATCGTTTGTCCAGAACTATCTTGCCGGGCGGTTTCTGTTTCTTGTCGACTTTAATGATTTCAATGGTACAACTGAGACTCCTACAATGAATCCGCAAGTGCTAATTCTGTCATACTTTCTCCAATAAACCATAAAAACGAGATGATAAGGATTTTGAATGAGGTTTGACCTCAACTTACCACTCGTCACTTTTGAGGAGTATTTGAGTATTTGAGGCTTTCCTCCACGTCTTCTCTCTGATACCTGGGACAACAAGCTGAATATGCAATTCAGTCAAGGAGTCGTCGTATTTACCTGTAAAACATCTAGGACGATCGTATCATATAAAACAACATAAGGAAAATGCAGGTAGAAATGCACTTATCTCGATACCAACACATTCACCGGACTATTTTGAGATCTTACTTACTTGAATACTTGGACTTCTCACTTGAGATTCAATGCTATCAGGTGAAAATTTTTTAAAGCCTTCCAAAAACCTCGTATGGCATCTCAAGTGCTAGACGTACGTTTCGGCTTCCTCGTACAACTCATCAGTAGCACATGCCATTCGGCTGCCCTCCCAATATCTATGATTGCAGAGAATCGGCGCTGAAGAAGTAAAACTCTGCGTCAAGTGGAATGAGCACCAACGTGGATTCTTGCAAAGTGATTGACTGTCGACTGTCGTTTTCTTGGCTTAGGGCTTACGCCAGTACATACGCATCATCACTTTCAGCTGACTAAACTTGATAGCATCTACGAGAAATAGTAAAAACAGGAGAACGTAAAACAAGAAACGGTCGAAGACGTTCAATAGAAAAAGAGCTAAATGTCATGGTATCCACTGTTCGTCAACCTTTCCCCTCTATTCTTTAGTTTACGTATCATCATAATTTGCCAGATTTACAAATTGTTCTATTGCAACTGCTGTTTTTTTGGCATTTTGATGCCACAAAAACTGGATTCCTCGGGACATCAAGCGCTTCTAAAGGAAGGCCATTGACCTGCTGGTCCAATTTCTCTCACGAAAGCGATAGAAGAAAGATATAATGCTCAGTGAATCCCTAGAGAGATGAGGACCCACTGGGCTACTCTTGCTTGCGATGGGAAAAATGGAAGAGTTGCTGGTACCGCGCTCGAGTCACTCGACGATCAACGGGACGACAGGTGATACAGGTGATCTATTGCAACACAACAAAGAAATGATGATATTTAGAAGAAGAAGAACGAAAACAGGACGACTTGCTCACCAAAGTCCTCTTGCCAACTCTATAAGAACAAGACCTTCTCCTTTTATTTTTTCTCTTAAATTTTGTACTCATTCGATTGCTTGGATCTCGTTGATTTCAATGCTACGTTTGCTTACTGAAAAGGCCTTCTCAGCGCGCAGTAGCGTTGAAATGCAAATTGAGTTTCACATTCAATGCGCCGCAGATTCTGCTTGGCTAGTGCCTGGATGATATTTCGCAATAACTGCAATAAACGGCACCAAGGGGCCAAGGGTTTGTGGATGGCCTTTTGACATGCTTTTAGCAGAGTTGTTCGATAGTACAAATCAGGTAAATCTAAAGATATTTTTGGTTTTTAACAGATCTTCATAAAGCGTCAAAACAGCGAAAAAAAAGGATTACTTATATAACTAAGAGAATTGAGTGGTGAGCAAAAACACAGCCTGAGGCGGGAATCGAACCCCGTTTTATCCTATCCGGGGACGCGTGCTCTACCACTACACACCACTGAGGCAAATTTGCTCGACCACTCATTCTTCAACATCTTTATCAGGCAAATGTGCCTCAGTGGTGTAGTGGTAGAGCAAGCGTTCCCAGATAGGATGGAAACGTTGGTTCGATTCCCGCCTGAGGCCGCGTTTTTGTTCACCACTCAGTTCGCTTAGTTATATAAGTAACATTATAACACTGCGAAAAAAGCAGTGGAAAACTACAATTCGAGAAAGGATTACGTTTATCAAGTTTAGGGCTGGTTAGTGCTGGATTGGTGGCGAGTTTACTTGCCAATAGTAGAAGCCCAAGCTCACATAACGATAGGAC